TTGCACTTACCTGTACTCGTTAGAACCTTTAAAAGTTGCTGTAAAAAGCTTTAGGAATTAAAAGAAGATATTTGTGTGCTTGCTTCAAATACAAACAAATACGATAAAATACATAAGTAATTATATAAACGCAAGACTAACATGAAAATAAAATATAAAAGCTAAAATAGAACAAATATGTATAAAAAAATGAAACATATAATTGGCTTGTAATAAAAATATTTGGAAGTAATATTTAATGAATAAACATATTAATGTGTTTCATTTGAAAATATTTATTTTATATTTGTACATATGAGAACTAATACAGTATCCTATTAAAAGTGTAAAGTACTTAAAAAAAGAGTTTAATGTTAATAGGAAAAAAATTGCAATAGTTCTGACTTATATTCTGAAAGTTTGGCGAAAGCTGATGAAAAATTTATTAAAAATATACTCATAATCGTCAAGAAAGAGCGCAAATAGTTATTTAGTGCCCTACACAAGACTTTGTTTACAAACATGACACAGATTGTAAGTATTGTAAAAAGTTTGTTAAATATTATAAAATTATATAAATTAATATATAAAAAAGGACGAAACTTAACGGTTACTATTTGTCTCTCGTGTCTCGACGGCCCTGTGTTAACGTATCGTGTTTGTAAGCTAAAAAAGGTCGTTGACCTGTCGTCTTAGAACCCGTTTATTTCGCTTAACTTTTCGATTTCTAATTACGCATTTGTTTTTTACAATAAATAATTCGATTTCTGTCTCACAAAATAATTAAGCAGGTCCGCTTGCTACATAAATCTCTACATAAATATACTTATATTAATTTTGTTTTTATATAAAACGGTATTGAAAATAAAAATAAAAATATTCTAAAGAAGATTAAGCATTTTACGTAATTATCTTTCGAACGTTTAGTCTGTTAATAAGAAATTTATATATAATTAGTAATAAAATCGAACAACATGCGAGTAAAACGAAATAAAACATTGAATCATTGCGATAACGTGCGGAATTCTTTTATGCAAAAAATACACAGTTTTGATGGACGAGATAGTCTTTTTTTATTTAACTGTTATATTTTCTAAACAGCTACCATGTTCTATAACATAACCTATGTAACTTTTGACTACTCATAAAAACTTCTTTTGTTTGAAAAGGATGCTCTCCGGTGTTGGACGTTCTTGAATAAATACATTATCTTAAAACGACTGTGATGTCAACAAAATTATTAATTCACGAATTATTTCTAAAAGTTTTGCTTATCTGGTTTGTATTGTTGTGTTGTATATAAAACCTTTGGCGTGTTATTTATATATTATATATATAATTAAATTAAAGGTAAAACGTGCATATTATTTCCAGTGGAATATATTACACTATGTTATTTCAGTTTATCGTTATTAGTTTTTCAGTCTTTTTTCTCTGAAGTCTTCTTGCTGTATTATTGTCGTAAAGAGTGTTGACTGAAGGGTTGGGGTGATTTAAGATCCTTGTTTTATTATTCTAAGATATCTGCTATATCTCCGTTTATACTGCTAGGATTTACAAATCTTTACTTAAGACTTTGACGTCCGCGTGTTTCGACAAAATTTCCTCGCTTGGCGCCGGCAGCTTCGCTTACGACCGGTCGATCTCGGAAGTAGTAGCCCGGTATGACGACCGATATTTCGAAGTTTTTTTATGAATTTTTTTAAGTATGAAAATAAAATGCGATCGTTTCGAAATTTTTACATGTTTTTATAGGTGTTTGAAATTGTCCAAAAAAATTTTTTTTAAATTAATTTACATTGATTTGTCAATAATTTTGTCTGTCTAAGTTGAGTCCTCGAAAAATAGTTTAGTTRTTTCGGAGAAGCATACTACCTTCCGTAGTCATTGGAAATAAAAAATTAAAGACATTATTGTTCTGTAGGYCTTATTCTAATGAACTATCTAATACTATGCATATTACAAAAAATAAAAATAGCAGAGTTATAAAAAAAAGGTTTTCAAAATTAAGATTTTCTTTAGATAAGTTTTTTTGAAAAAGTTAATTTATTATAAAAAATGTAATGTTTTAAAAGTTASGTATTTAGCTATGTGTGTCTAAAATAACAGGTTCAATTTTTTGCCTAATCGGTGAATAGTTTTAAATCAGTGCTTCCTCGAAATTCCGAATACGTTATTTTGAGAAAAACGCGTTCAAAGTTTTTTAAACTTTCACACACACTACAACGTGCTTGTTTCTTTTAAGTATAACTTTGAAAATATTCCACATTTTGATCAGAAACTTCCGGATAATATTTTTAGGATTTTTTTTTTGCAAAAACTGTAAAACAAAATCAATTTTTTAAACCCGTTACACCGGCCTACTACCTAAAATTATCGGGAGATTATAAATTGTCAAGTTTTATTAATCTCATCGTTAGATCTCATGAGTTACCAATCCTGTCCCTCTATTTTCCAAAAATTTCGAAAATATACATATATAAATAAATGTAAAATTTGTTTATTTTATATATTTCTTTTTGTACATTTTCTTTAGTACTTAGTATTTTTGTTTAAAATGATATGAAGAGAAACAATTTCCAACATGTAATGCAACTCCACAAGCCTTGCACATTAAATTTGTTGCCCTTCTTTTTTTGTTTTTGTAACATACATGGCAGTTTCTTCGTTTTCGTTTGTTTGTTTCGGAAATGAATATTAGCTGGTGTTGCGATAGCTGCCCCGAAAGTCTCTCGATCGCATCATAGTGATGAGACGCATGCGATGAAGTAGCGACCTCCAAATTTTGCTCAACAGCAGGTAGATGATATTTTATCCACATACCAGACACTTTCAATAAAAAATCATGAAATCGGAGACTCTTGTTTTCTGAATTAAAATGTTTATATGTCCTGAATGCATTAAATAATGCGCAATTAAAAAGGTATATGGAAACCTTTTTTGAACATTTTATAGTTTTTCTGTAAATAGGATAGTAACTCAGATATTGGTCTGTCCGATCCACTCCTTTCATGTATTTGTTATAGTCCAATACACTTTCAGGTTTTTTTATTATGCAATTGGTTTTTCTGCATTTCGTTTTAGTGTCAATCAAAGTGGCACTATGTATCGTAGAGATAATTCGTATCATTTTGGTTTTCGAAGCTTTCCATAATTGGGCGAGTACTTCACCTTTTCGTTGATGGCAAGCTTTAAACACATAGAGTTTTGTGTGCTCTAATTTATCAGGAAATCCTCTATTTTTCGGTATTGTTCCACAAACTCGAATTTTTTTCGCAAGCAAATTCTCCGCAAGTTCTACATTGTTGTAATAATTGTCCATGTAAAGGTGATGCCACTTTCCATGACAACGTGCCAATAGTTCCATCACTGTTTTTGATAAGGGCTGTCCAGCCCCGGAATATATTTTAAATGAGGAAATATATCCTGTTTTAGAATCACATAGCATCCGAATGAGTATGCCATATTTGGTAACTTTCGACGGATTGTATATTTTAAATTGTAATCGTCCCCGCCATGGTATTATACCTTCATCAATTGAGATGTTTTGATCAAGATTAAAATTTTCTTCAAACTTTTCGGAAAAATAATCTATTATAGGTTGCACTTTAAAAAGTTGGTCGGCATTATCCGGTTTATTATCGTTGTCGGAAAAATGTATAAATGATAATATTTGTCTGAATACTGGACTACTGGAGTTTCTAACAACGGATTCGTTGACCAATAATCATCTATCTTTGCTTTTTTTACAATTCCCATGAGGATAACAAGCTCAAACCATTTTTTGAGTTCGACTGCCGTAACCTTGACAAATTTTAAATTTTTTGTTCTACTTTCCTTCTACCACAATTTTGAATGTAGTATTTGTTTGTTCCGTTGCTAATTGATTCAAATAAATCGTCCCCAATAAATAATTCCACGATATCCTTGACGCTCTTTATATCTTCGGGAAATACGTTTGGACCCGGAGACCCTTCAAATTCATTATTAGTCCTCCGTACATCAAAGTCTGACCACAATACATAGTCTTCTTCGTCTGATTCATCTAAATCAGTTATCAGCCGTTGCGTTCTCAGCTGTTTTCTTATAAATATTGTACTGTTGTCCGAAGATTCAGAATCGGCACAGTCGATTGGATTTTCAGAAAATTCATCCGCGCATTCATCGTACATAATCGTATCTTCTCTTTCGTCTACCATTATAAAAAGGCAAAACAACTAATAAAAAAAAAACTTGCCGACGTTTGTAATTTATTGTTACATGAACGAAGAACCAACAGATACCACAGATCACCAACAGAATGCAAATGATAGTAAAGTACAAAAATTGAACCTCCGTGTTGTGCACGCTTTCGTGTCTACGCTTTCTCAATCTGCTTGAAGAAAAATGCTATCCTTTTCCACTTCTGCGTTGTAAGAATGGAATGAGTGTATCCAGAAAAACACACTTCAGTTGTAAAGAATTAAATAAATTGCAGCAGTCTTCCCACGCTAATGAAAAGTTTTCTCCCACCAAGGGCACCGGCGTGATTTTAAAAGGGAGGTGATTGAAAAAGATTACCACTTCCAAATTATAGCAAACAAGATAGAATGTTGAATGTAATAGCTATATATAAATATTAAAAATCTCCAGATGTTTCAAAAAAAAACAATACCCCATTGTAAACTTGCAATTAGTAAATTATCCTTTTTTGTCTGTAAAACCTATTCTCAGATATCTTTATCATCGATCACCATGATAGAGAAATTTCGTTGCGACAAATTCTTTACAAATTCAAATAAAAGACGGAGCGGACACCAATGTGGTGTAACCGGCGATAAAGCAATTTTTGCGCACGACACCAATGTGGTGTATCCGGCGACATTGGAACTTTTGTGTGCTTGACACCACTGTGGTGTCGTCGGACGTCATAGTGTTAAATTCTTATTTATCACATATCATGACATGTCAGTATGTTGGCATTATATCTGAATTCACAATATAAAGCATAATTGATTACATGGCTTTTATTTTTTTGATGTATTTTTTTTTTAATTTCTGGTTATTTGTAGTCAATTTCAGGTCATAATATACCACTTTCAATTAATTGTAAATCCATTGTTGCGTCTCTATACGTTCGCATTCCAGGGCGATTGCTAAAGCACATTCAAACAATTCTTCATACACTTTTTCTGATGTTTCATCGATTTGTAATTTTTTGATCGTATTTCTAGCTTTTTGACTTTTTAACCCAGTGCTAAACTTTTTAAACATCTGAGCTTTTTCCTGATTGTGAAAACAGCATGTAATCACTAGAATTTTTAAAGCGAGAACATACTGAGACACAGTTTCTTCAGGCATTTGATCTCGATTGAAAAAACGATACATTGCCAAAGAACAGCTTTCACGCCCGGAGTAATCTTCCGTTAACTTATATGTTAATACTGAGTATGGAAAATCCAAGGGGTTATCAGAACCGCAGCGAATTTTAAGTATTTTATAAGGAATTATTTGTATTATATCTATTAAGAAAGGAACCTTTTCTTCATCTTTCACTCCAAGTAAAAAGACTCCAGTTTCAAATTTATTTAGCCATATAGGGAACTTGTCGACTGTCGGATTGAATCTGTCCATATGTTTAAGAGCTTCTGCTGTGTACTGAGATAAATCTTCAATTCCTTCCATTGCACTTTGTATTTCAAAAACAAGCAAAATCTTTCTCCTTTTTTAGCAATAAAATTGAACTTGAAATTCTTCTCCCGGGGTCACTTGCTACACTTTCACCAATAAACACTGTTTTATTTTCGTAATTAAATTCGAAGTAATTTTTTCTGGAATAATTGTTAATTTTAATATTTATATATACTCACGATTTATATTTATGTATAGTTGAAGAAACGAATTAACGTAATTTAGTTAGAATATTGTTTTGAGATTTTTGTTTACCAAAATAAAATTATTTAATTAAATGTTAAACATACACCTTAGCACTTACGATTCACATAAGAATCGTTGCGATACAAGCGAACAATTCGAGTCGAATGAAAACACAAACTAATATTAAAATTTAGAAGAAAGCCTAATAGGCATAAACGCAACTACGCACTAACGATCTTTATAGTAAGCTGTTCTATACGAAAATGATTACGTGTTCTACCCATGCACATACCCTAAGGCACGACACCATACCCTCACCTTGCATGCCTTTGCACGCCCTCTCAACTCATACTAATGCCGAATTTACTGAAGCAATTCGGCGCATAGTATAAATTCCTTCCCACGGGTTAAGGCCTTAGAAACGTCCAAAATTTTGAAGGAGACGGTACATAGATCATATATATTCCAAGCTTTTAAACAACAGTATACATTTCTATCGATTAATTAACTATTATTTTAATTCTCTAATACACTCTTCTTATATTTCTGTTCGTTTTAACACATATATATTGATTGAAATATTACATTACCTATTAACGTATTTTAAATAGAAAATAATGTTGATATATTTTTCTTTTATGTTTTTAGATGACTTTTTTAAACTTGATTTTAGATCCTATACACCGAGCTTTTAGACAACAACAGACACTTCTATCGATTAATTAACAATTATTTTAATATTTAAATGCACTCTATACTTACATTACAGGAAAATTTTATCCTCAAAGTCGTCACTGTGCAGGAACGTTAAAATAATTCTTTAAAAATGAAGATATTCGTCGTACAGACACACGAAACATAAATTTTTTCGACATACACTACATTTTATGAATGTAGGCTTCTCACACGTACACGGATATTTCAAATCGTCAGATTCAACAACAAACCTTTGAGATTTTCTTCTATTTGAATCCCTTAAAAGACTAATTTTTAAAATATATGTATAAATGCATTTCTGAACTCACACACATGTTTATACTTTCTTTTTTTATATTAAATTAAATATAATTATTTAATTTTTAGTTTATAACAATATGACTATACTATATATACTATTAAACAATGTAACATATACTATCATATATTATTAAAGAATACTGTATTCTTTGATAGTATTGTACCATCAACGCGTTAAGTACCTACTTTTGTCCCGGTAGTAACTAAAATGAAACTAGGTAGATAAAAAAGGGGATTTGTTAGCTTTTATGTACTTCTGTATTCTTTGGTAGTACATAATGATGGATTATTTTTTACATCGTTGCTGTAATCTACTCGAAAGTCGCATTTCTACAAAATTAAAACTCAATATATACGAACAACTGTTGAGAAAAATACATGTTTAAGGGGTTACATGGGTTTGGGACTTTCAAAAAAAATTTTTTTTTTTTATTTTTTTTCAATTCTACAACTCATCTAGAATATTGTATTCAATTTTTAAGTCGATAGGAGTAGTAGTTTTAAAGATAGAGCCCTGGGAAGTTCCACTCTTTAATGGCTCTTATACCAGCACTCAAATCTTTAAACGCGTTTTTCTCAAAACG